AATCAAAGCGTTCACTTACTATTTGAAAATTAAGAGAGGCTTAAAATTTAGATTCATAAATAAAATAAGAGAAAGCTTTTTATCATGAAGTATTGATGCAAAACGTATTAGATTTAAGGGAAGAATATTTTGAGGTTTTCCTCACTTCAGGTTTGGGGGATTTCATTTTCATCATAAGCCTTCAGCTTGTATGCTTTGGTTCTTGCACCACAGTCGATTTGTAGGGGCCGCTCCACATTTAGTCCAGCTTTTCGACCGGACATGTTTGTTATAGTACCAGACGACTCTCTTTTTGACTTCCTCCTGTCGCAGGGCTGCTTTTACCCGTACTTCTTTCGCCAGGTCTAGCGCAAGAATTGCTCATTCGTTGTTTGCTTGCAACCACTCTTGCAGATCTTCCTCGTTGAACGTCACGATTGTGAGGACTCTTTGGCTGTGGTGGTTGTATTCTACTGACAACATGACCTCCAATACGTGGGATAACATGAATGTCATTTGCCCAATCACAGTGGATGGAGTTATCCGGATGGCCCACAAAATGGATGAGAGTATATCCACCCAGTTTCCTTTTGTTCCTTTGAATTTTTTTTCTTAACAAATTCATAATAATTTTATTAGCTGCCTCTACTTGGCTGTTTGTCCGGGGGTGATGAATCGAGGTGAATTTAAGGCTAATTCCTTGGATTTGGCAAAATTCCTGACTATCTTGTTTGTGAATTGTGTCCCATTATCTATAATGTTAATCAATGGTAGGCCATATCGAAAAATTAGGTCGGTCTAGATGAAGTTTGGAAGACCTCCGCAGTGATTCTGGCAAGAGCTATGGCTTCGTTTCATTTTAAAAAATAATCGACTGCCAGTAGGAGAAACTTGCGCTACCCTTTGGAAGGCAGAATTGTCTTGAGGATATCCAATCCCTAGATGGAAAACGACCACAGACTGATGGTTGGTTGAAGCTTGTGGCTCGACTAATGCTGTAGTGGGGCATATTTTTAGCACTATTGACATCTCCTGGAGAATGTTTCAACATCTTTTAGCAGCGTTGACTAGAAATATCCCGACCATTATACCAGATTATACTAGATGGCAAACGACCACAGACTGATGGTTGGTTGAAGCTTATGGCTCGGCTAATACTGTAGTGGGGTATATTTCTAGCACTATTCACATCTCCTGGAGAACGTTTCAACATTTGTTAGCAGCGTTGACTAGAAATATCCCGGCCATTATACTAGATGTGCTAGGGTGTTTTCGCCTGAATGACTCCCATATTTTCCAGAATGGAATTCTCGAAGAATTTCTTCTGTTATTTTTTTTCCTTAACACACTTCAAGTACAACTTTTTTTTTAAAAGACGTTCTTAGGGCGCCTTCGGGGCGTGCCCCGCCCATGGAAAAATGTTTTCATACGGAGCCCGTACCTCCAATTAGAATAAGCCTCCAAACAAAATGTGTATGCCCTACTTAAAAAAATTTTAAATTTTTTAAATTAAATAATGCTTAGGTTTCTAAAGCCTGTAACATTTCGTATAAAAAATTCTCCCATCGAAAAAATTTTTGTCTGAACTCCTGACGTAGCTCTACGTGCGGACTCTAATAATATGTCGCTGCGTGTGCTACATCGCGAATGTTATTTTGGGGTTATTAAAGTAGAACCACATATGTTATTTCAAGGTTATTAAAGAAAAACCTATATATTTCACTTCAATAACTCTGAAATAACCCATAAATAACCTCCGCGGTTCCACTTAAATAACCAATAACCCGGAAATAACACCGTGGAGGTTCTTTCTGGGGGTTATTGAAGTGGAATATATGAGTTTTTCTTCAATAACCCCGAAATAAAATAACCTTCGTTGTGTTTTTCGGGGTTATTGAAGTGGAACCGCGAAGGTTATTTTGGGGTGATTTCTGGGTTATTTCAAGATTACTGCGGAGTCCACAGTTTCACTTTAATATTTCTTAGATTAGCCTGATATAACACATAAAGTATATCTGTTTACTGGTAGTCTATAAGTAGAGATAAGTCCGGAAAAGAAAATTTTTTCAAGGATGAGATTATACCCCGCCTCATAATTGAATAAAAAGGTAAAGAATCCCTGATTCTACGTACCTATTCAAATAGAGCTTCTCCTGCACACATTCATCTTATGCAGGCCCTCTGTTTCTTTCCTCACACCGTCGCATGCTGGTCATCCTGCAGCAGACTCTTCAGCCTCACTCGTTCTCGCTCATTTGCGTTGTCTTCATCCCACACATAGTCTCTTTTGCGTCGACTTCATCCTGCACGCAGACTCGTCTGTGTCATCTTCATCCCGCTTTTAGGTAATCCCATACGTAGATGACAGGCTCGTCATCTTCATTTTGCGTTTGGTGTCTCCTTCTCTCCCTCTCTTGCACTCGCATCGTCTCCTCTCTCGTACCTGCATTGTTTCACTTGCAGTGGCTCAGCCACATAAGTAAATTGGATTTGTTAGTTTTTCATTATTTTATTTGTGGTCCACTGTAATTTATTTTAATAGTAATTAATTAATTAATTTAAAAGAAAAGGGTCATGTCTCTTGCCAATAGATACTATATCCTTTCGCTTTAATAAACTAATTAAATTATTTTAAATTCTATTGGTCAATAATCACCATGATGGATGGTGGTTAATAATGAATAATTAAGAGAAAGACCGTGTCTCTTCCTAAGAGACTTGTCTTTTCTCTTATAAATAAGAGAAGGGTCATCTCTTTCACAAGAAGAAATTTATATTTTCTCTTCATCGGAAAGTACAGAAATAAATAAGGATTAGAGAGTGAAATTCTATCTCTTCAAATTGAATTCTGCGATCATGAATACAGTTATGTATATCTCATTTATGGGTATATGAAAATCATAAATTCAAAAATCTTGGTCATTTAATTTTATGAATTTTGGGTGATGAAGTAGGATTTTATAAATTACAATTCCTAACATGTGGTATCAGAACCTCGATTGTTAAATTTGTGATTTTTCATTTAATTTTATTTATGTTAATTGCATTAAATTTTTGCTGTAAATTAGATCTTGAAATTTGATCACTAAAGTTAATCAGTGAATTGAGATATTATTGTTTATTTGATGTCTATATTATGTTTAATTTGTTAGTCACCAAAGTGACCAAATTAGTATGTTTAATAAACGTCAAATTAAATAAATTCAATTACTCATACATATGTGATGCTTGTTATGAAATAATTTTGTATTTAATTGAGTATATTGAAATTCATTGATTATAAAATATTTGTGGATCGTCCAAAGGTTGATTTATTGTTTTATAATTTTTTAATATGATTGTGACATTTATATACTTGGTTAGATATGTTTATGTATCCAACGATAATATGCATGTCCAATTTGAGTATAAATAAATGCCAATTATGTGAAACTAACATTTTAAACATCAATTATTTTATTATTGTCTATTGTTATATTACACAAATGAGATTTTCAATACTCTACTAAAGTTTTAATTTAATCTGATTGGACATGAATACTTGAAGCGTTGATGTATGAGCATGTCTATTTATTTGCAGTATCTACTCCTGTTTCTCTTTATTCACAAGCTACATCTGTTCATAAATTCAATGGGCTTAATTTTTCTGAATGGTGTGAGCAAATTCAGTTTCACTTTCATGTTTGGGATCTTGATTTAACACTCACAACTGAGAAGCCCCCTGCTCCTACTTATTATAGCAGTGCTGAGCAGAAATCTTTCTATAAAGCTTAGGAGAAATCAAAGAGATTAAACTTAATGTTTATGCGAATGACTGTAACAAACAACATAAATAGGATATTCAGAAGTCTTTGTATGCAACGATCTTGTTGTTGCCTTTTCCTGCTTGCCCTAGCCACACTTTCTCATTGGCTTGCATTTTGTGCATGATGGACGGATGGGAAATAGGAGTGAGTAAACGGGAAATTTGTGATTGACATAAGGAAATTGAAAGTTTTGGAGGTCACATTATTCAGCGATTCCCCCATTAATTAAAAAATGTTTATGATTAAATTTTTTGAATAGAAAAATATATGATTTGGAAGAGTCAAACTTCTATAAATTATAAATTTTGGAGTACAATATGAAAGTAAGCAAATTCCATTTCAAAGGTGAGAACTAATTCCTTTTTTGAAGCCTTGTTGGGTCTTTATCTTTTTTGTCATTTGAGTGTATGGTGTGTAGCTTTGTAGAAAAAGAGTCTCTACAACATTTTTTGGGTCATGTTGCTTGCATGGGAGATCGATGGTGTGCGACTTGTGGCATAAAAACACTCATATTGTTGAAGCAAAGATGGATAAGTGAGGCTTGAGAATAGACGAGCAAAATGGATGCTTATGGGATTGTGGTTGAGAATAGACGAGCAAAATGGATGCTTATGGGATTGTGGTGCTGTGTAAATGATTTGATGCCTTAGATTCTAACGGCACAACAGAAGTAGAGCGAGACACAAGGCTCAAGGGATGTGATAGGGCATAAAAGAACCTAAAAATTTAATAATAAATAATACAAATATTAATTTACAATTATAAATCATCTAAATTAAAATAATGTGTCGTTCATTGTTGCTTACGCATGATGCAAATGGCGCAGGGGGTGTGTCGTGCCACATTATGCATCATTACATGTCTTATTTCGTGTTATTGCATGTAGCATAGAAGACATAAATAGAGATAATCATTTTTTTTGCTTGGTACCACTTGAAAAGCCGAAGGGTTTGTAGAATGGATTCATGTGGGTGATTCTAGTTCCTACCTACCACCGAAAAAAAATTTCATCACATGTTAAAGAGCCACCAAAACAAAATTCATTACATGTTAAAGAGCAAATATCGGGGATCTTTGAGCCAGGTATTTTAATATCTGCTGAATATTCTATTGTAATATAACTGTTGTTTCTTTTTGAGATCCACTTGATTTATGACTTATGATTCTCCCAACTCCAGTTGGTCGTCTGTATTCTGATACATTTTAATAATCTAGCGTACAAAAAACACCATCCTCCATCACTAAACGATGAAGTGTGGCGTTTGGAAAAGATTGGTAAAGATGGTGCTTTCCACAAGAGGCTCGCTGAAAATGAGATTCATACTGTTCAAGATTTCTTAAGGAATTTAGTCATGGACTCATCCAAGCTGCGAAGTGTAAGAAATGCACTCAATTTTTCTTAGAAACACCGCAAAATACAAATATCATTTATAACAACTCACATTTCACTTCAATATCTGTAGCTGCTGGGTAATGGAATGTCTAACAAGATATGGGAAGCTACTCTAGAGCATGCAAAAGAGTGTGTTCCAGATGATAAGCTGTATTCTTATTGCGGGGGAGGAGGGTTTATCCTCATCTTCAATTCTATATATCAGCTCATCGGTGCAATCATTGACCACATATACCATCACATGAATGAACTGTCTGCATCACAGAAGGTATAAACTGATATAAGTTTTTCAGTTTTAAAGGGTTTATCTTATTCCACTTATCATGCTGCTGTGATTGTCTACTTCAGTCTTCACTGAAACTTTATGTCCACAAGGGGCAAAACATAACCACTGAGGGAGAAAAGGACCAGCTAGAATAGGAAGACAAATTAGAAGAAAAAGATCCATTGCACCTAAATATCATTAGAATTGGGCGACATCTTGACATTATCAATGTTGGAGTGTGGAGACCGTCACCCGAAGGGAAAAATTCCAGTGCCTCAAAGGAGCGCTGCTGCACTGCTCCTACGGGCGTTCCTGCGCCTGTCTTGGCGTAACCACACCAAATTCAGGTGTAGTTACCTTGGATGGCGTAACCACACCACAATGGGCGTAGCTATGCCGACATAATTCGGATATTTTGCTTCCTTCACGAGTGCATGAAATATTTGAATCGCTACTCGGCAGTTTCTTTTGTTCGGTTCTTAAAGCTTCGATTTAAGCAACAAAGAAAAATGACACTTGTGTGCGATGTACTCTCTTGAAATGTTTTATGTGGAATAGAGAAGTTCGAGAGGAGGATTTCAAAGTGAGAGCTTTCTTTTGCGAGATCGAGAGGAAGGTTTTGACCAAAGTTCGGTAATTTTCTATAATTACAGAGAGTAGATCCGCTTGTGTTTCTCTTACTTTTTCTCCCATTCATATTGAAATTTCTCAGTGGTCTAGCTTCATGGGTTTTTCACATTCTCGGTATTTTTCCTAGTGTTCTCTTTCTGGAATTGTTTTGTGTGCTTTTGTTAGATTTGTTTTTGTTCTAGATTTTTCAAATTAGTCTGATCCTATTATGTGATATGGTTTTGATCTCTAATTGATCAAAGCCCTAAGTACATATTTCTATTCCAACAAGTGGTATCAGCGCTGAATATGTTTGATTCGAGTAGGAACAATGACCAATGAAGCAATGTACAAAGCAGAGAAATTCAATGGATTTATATTAGTGTTCTGGAGGATGCAAGTGGAGGATTTGTTGTATCAGAAAAAAATATATTTGCCACTACAATGAATCACTAAGAAGCCTGAATCGGTAACTATAAAAGAATGGAATGTGTTGGATCGAACAACCCTTAGGTTTGATCTTCTTGTCACTTTTCTTATCTGTTGCATTCAATACAGTAAATGAGATAATCAAGGTAAATCTTGACGACACTGACAATGATGTATGGGAAACCTACTTCAAATAAGATTTTTCTAATGAAGAGGTTATTCAACATGAAAATAGTAGAAGACAGTTCAATGACAGAATATATGAACAATTTCAGCGTTGTAAGAAACTATTTGTTACGCAGAGATCAATTTGATTATGATGTCATAGTAGTATTAATTTTGTGTTTATTGTTGGATAACTGGGATGGATTAGTTACGTCCGTGAGTGATTATTCAGGGAATATGAAGCTTAACTTCGATAGCATCGTCGGGTTGGAGCTGAATGAAGAAGTTCACAGAGAGATAGCTAATGGTGAATCTTAAAATTTTGCGTTGAATGTTGAAAATAGGGGAAATAATCTAGACAGAAATATGGGAAGAGACCGACTCAAGTCTAGAAGAGAAAAGTCCAGCTTAAGCAGACGACACGACAGAGGATAAAGTTGAAATTATGGAAAGAAAAGATATTTCAAGAAAGATTATAAAGCTTTAAGGAGGGCTGGTGGTAGAGGATAAGAAAGGAATCTTTTTACAAAAATCTCTAGTGGAGAAATCCAAGGTGCTCTCTAGGGTTATCTTTAACTAGTATTGAATTTTGGATAGTAGATTTATATCTATTTTCATGCATGCCCCAATAAAGAGGTGTTTATAAATTACATAGAGTGATTTAAGAAAGATTTATTCGTGAGACAATAATGCCTATAATATTGTAGAAAAGAGTGATGCAGATATCTAGTTGTCAAATGAAACAGTCTGGAAGCTCATTGAATTTAGAAATTTTCTAAGTCTGAAGAGAAATTTGATCTCGGTGAGCTAACTAATAAGTCAAGGTTCGTGACTCTTTCATAGGTGATTCGTGGAAGGTGATCAGGGGCCAATGGTGATGACTCGGGATAATATCGAAGACATTCTTTACCCAATCAATTAAATGGCAGATTTCATTGATGCGGATGGAGCCAAGGTGGATGTAAGTATATGACCCGTAAGCTTGGCCATATAAGCAAAAATGTATAAAGTCTTTACTTTCAAAGAATAAACTTTAGGGTTTAAAATCTATAGTTTTTTATTTTTGTGAAGATTGTATAAATGATAACGAGAAGAAAATTTCTTTTTTTAAATGTGGGTTGATGGTGAAGACAAAGGAACTGAAGTTAGGGCATATCGACGTTTGGGGTCGTACTCTTATTCAGTCAATTAAAGGTTCTCACTATTTTGTCACATTTATTGAAGATCACACCATAAATGTATGAGTTTATTTCTTAAAGCAAAAATCTAGCATATTTGAAGTGTTTAAAAAGTGGAAGGTTGTGGTGGAAAATGAGATAAACTTGAAATTAAAGTATCTCAAATCAGGTAATGGGGGCGAGTATCGTAATAAAAAGCTTAGGAATTACTATGCTTCATAAAGGATCAGGCATGAGTTGACTGTTTCAAGAACTCCATAGTAGAATAAGTAGCTGAGAGCATGAATAGAATCATCACCGAGTGTACTAGAAGTATTAGGTTGTATACAGACTTGAAAAGGCAGTTCTGAGCAGAAGTAATAAACACTGCAGAGTATCTGATCAACTGTGGTTCACTGTACAATTGAAGGGAGGCTTACCTAAAAAAGCCTTGAGTGACAAAGAGGTAAATCTATCTCATTTAAAATATTTGGGTATCCTGAACATGGACATGTTGATGTAGAGAATATAACTAAGCTAGACTAAAAATCCTTAAGTGCACTTCATTGGTTATGACTCATATGAGTTTTGATACAAGTTCTGTGATTATCAGAATAAAAAATTTATCAGGAGCAGAGATGTTATATTTAATGAAATAGATATATACAGGGGCAGAATTAGAACTCAGGATAGCTCGTTAGTTACTTCGGAATAATCCAAATATGTTAAGATAGAAGACACCGGTGATCAGGAGAGCGGAGATAAAAGCACTCAATCGGATTAGGTATAAGAATTTCCACAGTTAACTGCTACTGAGGTCAGGAGATCCATCAGAGCTATTCAACGGATCCTTTTTTTGTCCTATTTGTGTTTAATAGATAGTGATGAACTAGAGTGCTATGAGGAGACTACTCAAGTTGAAAATTCAAGTGAGTGAGAGCTTGTCATGGATGATGAAATGCAGTCGTTAGAGTCAAATCAGACCTTAGATTGGCAGGATTACCGGATGGTAAAAGAGCACTATACAACAAGTGAGTCTACAATGCGAAAGAGAAGTCAAATGGTAGCATACACTACAAGGTAAAACTTATTTTGAAGGGGTTCTAGCAGAAGAAAGGAGTGAATATACATAATTTTTTTCTCTTTTGTTGAAGATGAGAACCGCTAAAGTTATGTTGAGCTTGGTAGCAGAGGAAGAACTACATCCAAAGAAGATAGAAGTAAAAAATAGCTTTCTTTCATGGAGATCTGGAAGAGGAATTATATATGGTACATCCGCATGTTACAAGTTTCCAAGAAAAGAAATTGGCCTGGATGTCGAAAAAGAGCCTGTATGGCCAGATCTCGAGACTGTTTTATAGGATATTTGAAAGGTTCATGTCAGACTGGGCACATGAAGTGTCAGACAGATCACCATTAATTTATAAAAAATTTTGATAATTGTCATTATTTGCTCTATTTGTTTGTGGATGACGTGCTGATTGTAGGGCTGATATGGAGAAAATAAAGGACTTAAATGAGTTTGAGATGAATGATTAAAGTCCAACAAGAAACATCCTTGAGATGAGCATTAGTAGGGATATGGGTACAGGTATACTGAATTTGTCTCGGACAGGGTGTTGAAAAGACCCTATAGATGTTGAACATGGGTGAGACAAAACTACTTTGCACCGCACCCTTTATGAAGTCACTTGAAGCTATTTATAAACAGAGTAAACACAGATGGGGAGAGCTCCTTATGCTTAAACAGTTGGAAGTCTAACTTATGGTATGATTTGTACCATACAAGATATTGTATATGCGGTGAGAGTAGTCAGCAAGTATGTGGGAAATCCATGCAGACATCATTCGAATACAGTGAAGATGATTCTCAGATATTTGAGAGGAACGGTCAAAATAACACTTTGCTATGGAAATGTTGGGAGCAATCTACAGGAATTTGTAGATGCAGATATGATATGAGATTTGGATGATAGAAAAAGTACAACAAAGTATATCTTCACTTTGAGAAACATAGTGGCCAGTTGGGTTTTTAAGTTACAGAAGATTGTTGTATTTTCAATTATGAAAGTTGAATATGTTGCTATCATTGAGGCTAGTAATGAGATGATTTAATTACAGGACTCTATGGAAGGATTGAGCAAGTGCAGGGAATTGGAAAGTTTAATAGCGACAACTTGAATGCATTTCACACCGAAGGGCATAATTCTATTGCTTAAAAGGAGCACTCTTGTGACACTCCCTTGGGTGCTTTTGCGTCTGTGTTGGTGTAGCCACGCCCGATTCAAGAGTAGCTTTGTTGGGCAGCATAACCACATCACGACGGGGGTAGCTACATCAGGATGTTTTGGATCTTTTGCTTTCTTCCCGAGCGCACAAAATATATACATTGCTACTCGATGTTGTCACGCTGTCGAGGTAATTTCTCTTGTTCGGTTTTTAAAGCTTTGATTCGAGTGATGAAGAAAAACGAATCTTGCATGCAGTGTATTCTCTTGAAGTTTTTTGTGTGGAGCAAAGAAATTCGAGAGAAGGATTTTTAAGTGAGGGCTTTTTCTTGAGAGATCAAGAGAAGGGTTTCGAGCTGAGTTCTATAAGTTTTTATATTTGTAGAGAGTATATCTGAGGATATATTTCTGTCCTTTTTCTCTCATTCATAGTGGAATTTCTTGGTGTTGTGGCTCCATGAATTTTTTTCCAGTGCTCGGTTTTTCTATATAAATCATGCTGGGCTTTTTCTAGAATTATTTTGTTGTGTTTTTGTTCAAATGTTTTTATTCCGAATTTCTCTAATTTATGATCCTATTCTGGAGTGCTTTTGATCGTTAATTGATCAGAGCCTCAAGTTTATATTTCCATCTCAACAATTAAAATAGATATAAATATTTTTTATTATTTGTTATCAAAATAAGATTACATAACATAACAACTCTGCAAATCTAATAACCCCTAAACTTACTTAGAATTGATAAATACAGACCAGCTCTTTTCTTTTAGGTATTTTTTTTCCTTACTCTAGGTCGGCCATGCACTTGCTCATCCTTGTTGTTTGCAGATTATAGTGGACAAGTTGAAAGAACTTGCTTACAGAAATCAAAATGACATAGCTGAGCTGACACTACCTGTTCACACTTTTACAAAGCTACCAGCGATAGATGGTTCCATAAACCCGCCTGTCTCATGTTGGCCTGAACCTCAGGTTCCAGATATCCCCGCTGGGACACTTCAAGGTGGTTGGAATTAGCAGCCTTGTTTATGAATCTTCATCCCCTTTGAATTCCTCTCACACTACATTGACAGCTGACATGCTCTTTTTAACAGATGAGCCAAACAAGCTTCTGCTAAGCGTTCCACGCAGCGGACTTTTAGAAGACCTCATTCAGCTGAAAGACGTTTTCGGCCCAACTCAAAGATTTGGTTCCCTCAACAATTATAATTGCCATGAAAGAGAGTTGTTTGACCTCCCTGAAGGTAAAGCGAGCGCCATCATGACTACTGAGCAGCCGTTTGCTGGACACAACAATTCTGATTTTGAGCTGCTGAGTTCTTTTATGCCTCCATTATGGGACCATGGCAAGGCACTTTCTCGGACGTCAGATGGCTCATTAGGCTTTCCGACATCACAAACGGGTACAAGTGCTCGTATCGGATCTAGCCGGTGGGTTAAGTTGATTGCAGCGCTTAAATGGCTGTTCATAATGCGGCAACTGGCTGCAAGAAAGGCCGTAGAGCCTGCCAATGTGAATAGGATTACTGAAATTGGATACCCAGCGTTAACAACTGCCATGTGCACTGATGCGACAACATGGTGGTGAATTTTCCTGTGTTGAAAATGGTCTTTGGATGAAGTGCTCTTCTGGCTGTTGTTCTCTATACTTGCTATATTTTTAATAGGAATTTAGGACTTTTCTTTCTTCAGTGCAGTTAGTTGTATAATCTAAATGTTGACTGAAATATTTTTTGAAAAAAAGAAGGTTCCTGTTCCTTCATAAGACTTTTAGGTGGTGTTTGGTAACGCCTTATTAACAGTATTTATCTATAGAATTTATTAAATGCAACCAAATAAAAAAAAGAAAAAAAATGCAAATTCTATGAATTTATGAAATTTTGGATTTGAAGTCCAAGTTTTGCCTTCCATTCATGTTATTTCGGTTTTAATAAATCCAGTAAGGGGTGGATTTACTAAATCCAGATTTATTAAATTTTACTAACTCTAAATTCATTTTGCAGCCAAACGCCCCGTATAATTTGTAGAGTAGAGTTGGAGCATTCTTATTGAGACGAAATCTGCCCTGATCAAAAGCAATTTGCTGTTTCTAGAGGCAGTGAAGTTAAAGGTTTTGTCATATCCCGCTAATGATTAATGAGGTTAACTAAAAGGCTGTTTGGTTGAATGTTCTAACGGTGTATTCCAAATTAAACACATGAATTTTTAAAATTTTGATGTTTGGTATTCTAAAAATTAAAAACCTTATGAATTCATAGGATACTTTACTTTTACACTGAAGTTACCTTTCGGTATACATGTAGTCCGCTCATTTCAGAGCGAAAACCAATCATGCCTTCTCACTGACTATTGCAACCAACTCCATAGTCCGCTCATTTCAGAGCGAAAACCAATCATGCCGCACTGCTCAAGAATGTTGTTATCGTGAAAGCCGTGTCTCCCGCTACCCCCAACACATGAACTACAGCATAACCAGTAACTAAAAAAAAAAAAAAAGGCTTGTGAGAACCGAGTAGCATTCCAATTAATTTGTTCTGAGAAATTTCTCCCGAGCAGGCGAAGCCGCGAAGGCTTCTCACTGACTATTGCAACCAACTCCCGCGACGAGCGCTATCTACATATGTCATACTTATGCAATTCTGAGTGCGTAACTAAAAAAAAAAAAAAAGGCTTGTGAGAACCGAGTAGCATTCCAATTAATTTGTTCTGAGAAATTTCTCCCGAGCAGGCGAAGCCGCGAAGGCTTCTCACTGACTATTGCAACCAACTCCCGCGACGAGCGCTATCTACATATGTCATACTTATGCAATTCTGAGTGCGTATGATCCCGAATAATCTTCCAATAACTCAGTTATTGGAGATTATTAAGAGGTTATTGGGGGTATTAACCCCAATAACATCTCAATAACTTATCTATACATTTCGCGGCTCGCACTCATCTTTTTTCCTGTCATTGGAAGGTTTTGTGAGGTTATTGAGGGTATTAACCCCAATAACAACGATATAACCCTGCAATACCCTCCAAATAACCTTCATACGCATGCAATTCTGCGTGCGTATGATGTACGTAAATATTTTTCTCCCGCCACAGGTGATTGTTTCTTTCACTGATGATTCCCACTGCATTTGCATATGTTTTCCCTTTGATCTACCGTAGTTCGAGATCCTGTAGCTGCTTTAAGGACGAATTGGTGAGGAGGTTTCTTAATTTGTTGTGTTTTTTTTTTGGAGTATCAAATTGGTGAGGAGGAAGAAGAAGCTGGAAAGATATATAGTATATTATTTATGGAGCTTCAAATATGTTTTCTAAAATTTTGCCCCATTGAAGTCTCAAAATCTGTCTTCGTTTTCATTACAATTCAATTTCAGTAGCTTCGTTTACCGTTTCATTTTTTGTCAAAGGGGTTTAGCTTTAAAGTCTTTTGTTGATCAATTAGCCAACTTCAATAACCTGCATTGAGAAATGTTCCAAAGTTGCCTTTAATTTCAAAATCATTCGCAGTCACCAAGGGATGTGTTCGATTTGCAAGATATTGATTTCAGGTGATCGTTATTTGCACATTTTTAGTAGTATAAATTAATGATGGAATTTTTTGTAACAAATGTTGCTATATGAAGAGGGAATAACGTCTTATTATTTTCATCATTAAAAACAAAGAAGATTTACCAACATACAACTTAGCATATACTTACATATATATTACTCAAAGGGGTTGTTTTTATATAGCATCTATGAAAGAGAAGGTGTATTTATCTTTCATATGCTAAAGTAGTGATAATTTTTATGTGATATGAAGTATTAGGCTGGTATAAATCTAAAGAGCAAAGTTTAGATGTTAGGAATGTAAAAACAAAAGACATAAGGTGGTATGCATGCAACTTAATAGTTGTAAAAGCATAAGCCATGCATGGTAGATATTGAAAAATATTATTTATGAACTTTCAAATTTGCATTATATACATACTTACCAGTCAATTCGATTGTATTTACATATGTAACAATTAAAGTTTGTTTTCATACAATTAAACTTTCCAAATCCTTGATTTTGTATAAAAAAAATACCTACTAGTGGGATAGGAAATGACTGTTATTTAGTTGAAGTAACATTATTTAACATTTTATTGTTTACATTCACCTTTATATATATATATATATATATTTACACATATACATCTTAGACACACGCCACGTACTTAGAACAGCTTGTCGAACATCTGCTTGTCAGTTGTAAGTCCCCTTTGGTTGGGGCTCGATTCCCCCCGAGTGTAGGGTGTGGTAGTTGAATTCTTAGGTGCATAAGGGATGGTCGGGGCTGATATAATAGCCTCCGACCATTTCTTTTAAAAAAACAATAATAAAAATATACATCTACACACACACACATACACACACACACACACACATGCATATATATCATATCATATATACATATACACATACACATACATATACATAAACATTTACATATAGATACATACATTTATACATAGATTTTTTTTGGGCAGAAGTTCGAAGACAATTTTATTACTAAAAATCAAAAGGATTGGATCCCTCTAAAAGACAAAAAAGTAAAAATATAAACTCACCCCTAAGGGTCCCAAATACCTGGTATACAAACACACTCAAAAAGTTCCTCAAAAAAGTTACATGTACACCCATAAAAATCTCCAAAAGAGTAAAGAAACCCTAAATATCAAAGACATAGAAGAAAACAATGATCTGTAAGAAACCCAACTATAGAAAAAAGTGAGTAAGCTACCAAGCATTGTAAGGTATGCCAAAGAAGAAACCAGCAAGCAATCAACAAAAATTCTGTCAAACCACGACTCCATTTAGCAATCATCAAATTTCCCATGGGGCTGACAACAACATCTACAACTCCTAATCTAGCTCTTTAAAAATGAATCTGCAAACAAATTCAACAAGGCAAAACAAAATAGTAGATATGCGCAGTTGAACCAGTAATGATAGGATTTAGAAAGGAGGCAGTTGAGGTTAACTCTTGACACCAGCCAAAATGCTAAATAGTTCAGTTCCCCAAGTCAAGATTAGCAACTTCAACATGAAATCCTAAGCAATTGTTTTAAGATCCTATCAAAGATATCACTTAAAAGGACATCCACAAATGTATGCACTCCAAACGATCCCTACTCACTTATGTAGCAAATCCCCAAAATACTGTACTGAAGTTGAAAACATAGCCACAAACCAAGACACCAAAACCAACTCAAACAGAAGATCAAGGACAACTCACTGAATTAAATTAGAACATGAAAATTATCTCCATACCACAGCCATACAACATCCTTCCAAAGCAGCTCCATATCAATTTTATAATCAGTGTGCCTTCACGACATCACCCATTGCAAATAGTTTGAGTTTTAAAGAAAGATCTTCTATTGCATCAAATACATTAGAAAAGCTAATCCATATATCGAAAGAGAGTAAGTATCATAAGGCCCTTTTCTAGCATCTGAGATAGGGAGCATCTAAAAGATCTCCAACAACAATTTTCTAAAGCTTCCCTGGAAGTTTCCTCCCCACTTGTATTTCATAATGTGTGGCACCAGACCTGGCCAACCAATTGGCTGGTGTATTTCCTTCTCTATAAATAAATTTCCAAAAAATGTTAATCTATGATTCAAGAGACTTAATTATTTTTACATAGTGCATAATATCCCAAGATGCCTCTCTCTTGCTCTCTAACATTTCCACCAATACAGTGGAATCCACCTCCATCTGCAAAGAAAGCCAATTAGCACGATTAGCTAAAAGAACAGTGACATGCCTAAAAATGTGCTATTTTTTATATACAATTAATGCTTATTTTTATTGATATTGCACTTTAATGGAAGTTATTTTTGTACTTTTGATTATAGGTACAATAGGTTAAGCAATTGGAGCAAATGGAGCAAAAATGGCGCAAGTTGGAGTCAAATGGAGCAAAGAAGAAAATTTGGTCCTGGCGCCTAGGTGCCCACCTGACATTTATTTCATTGCTTCTAGAAGACACAATTATTTCATTTCTTCTAGGAGACTGATGCCTAGGCGCCAGAATCAGTTTGTTTTAAGATGTAATGTATTTAGTCAGATTTTGAAGGGGCATTTAAAGTGACTCTTGGGGATTTTATGGGCTATTATAAGGGGGTGTCTTTTCAAGTGGTGAGGGGGGAAGGAAGGTATGTGGGGTGTGTCTCTTCAGTTGAGGGGGTGTGTCTATTAGAGTGTGATTGTAAGGAGAATTGAAAATTCATCAAAGGAACTTCAAGTGTTTCGTATTTTTGTTTGAGTTTTGTAAAAGTTTGTTGTGTAAAACTAATTTTAAATATCAATCCAAATCTTGTTATATTTTCTCCATGAAATATGAGTAATTTTCTTTATCTTATTTCTTGTGATGAGAAATAATCATGTTGGATTAGAACTTTTTAGAAATTCTTTTATTTAAATATTGTGATGGTATATTACTTCATGCTTCATTTACTTATGTAATTTGGCCAATTCATAAGTTGGAACATATTGTCAAAAAATAATGACTCGGGAGGGCTATGCTTTTCCTCAACTAGTAATTACCACACTAACCTTTAGGATGAAGAAAAAGTAATCTTAGGCTGAGTATAAATAGAAAGAGAGATAAGATTTTACTGGTGTAAATTGGTGCTTCTAGGATGACAAACTAGAATCATAACCAATTTGACCTAGGGTTTGGAAATTAAGGCTAGGTTAGCCCTAATTGAGGGCT